TAAAGAGCGTCGCCCTCGGGTTCCGTCGGTCGAACCACCAGATCTAGGGTCCTCGCTAGGCGTGTGGGTCGCCGCCGACCCAGACCAGAGGCCAGGACGCCTTAGTGCCGACCCCAGGCAGAACCGATCCCTCTCGCGGTAGTAACTCCTCCGGGATGGCCCCCCAGCAGTATTGGGGATGGCTGACGCGCACGAGGAAGCTTGTCCCACCGTCGCGCCCACCAAGGATGCACCGGGCATGACCTCCTCTGTCCGCCCTGCCATAGGTGCGGCCGCCTGCACGGACGACGGCCCCGGCTGCGCTGTCACCACCAACGATGTCGTGGCTGCGCCCGGCCATGCCACATCCGCTGAGGACGCCTTAGGTGTGGCCTCCCTCGTCTACCCGGCCACAGACACGCCCGCCTGCGCGGACGACAGCTCCGACCACGCTGTCTCCACCTATGATGTCACGGCCGTGCCTGGCCACGCCATGCCTGCCACAGGCGCCCTGGACGCACCCTCCATCGCCTACCCTCCCATAGACGCGGCCGTCGACTGCGCCTCTCCGGTGGACCCCGCGGTCGCCCCGGCGACGCTCCTGCCGGCCTCCGGCATGGCAGCAGACAGGTCATGGCGCTCCTGCCAAAGGGCGAGAGTCTTTTTTGGTGCCAGCTTCAAGCACTGTTCTCCTAAATGGTTGTTTAGCCCGTTTACACATCGTTTAAACGCTACACGGTGGTACACCGTTTCCGTTTAATAGGTTGTTTTGGCCATTTAAACGGCCGTTTTCCCGTTTAAACACCCGTTTTGCCCAAATAATGGGCTAAACGGTAGGTGACCGACTGTTTACCGTTTAGTGTTTAGGATAACAGTGGCTTCAGGAGGGTCCCGCGTCCTCCAACGCTGCGGTCAGATCATGGCAAAAAATTTGTTAGAAACAAAAGGACTAAGAATTCCCAGCCTACCTTGACGCCACCAGGCGCTAACGTTTCGGGGCCAGCCCGCCCGACATCGGCTGTGACTCCTCATCGTGCCGCCGCTTTGAGCCCTCCCTTTGCTTGGGAGGCTTAGACGAGGCAGAGCCGCTAGCTCCCCTCGGCTCTGGGGGCACCGTGGAAGGCCCGGACGGAGCGGGTGGCTTAATTCCACCGGCTCTAGGGGCGCGTCCTCCCCCTCCTGCCCCGAGGCATGCCACGGGAAAGGCCTCGCCTGTGGCAGAGACGGATCCTTGTCCCAGCTGCCTAGCTCACCCCATTGGACGGGCAACCTGGAACCATCACCTTCTTCTTCTTCTTCTTCTTCCTCCTCCTCCTCCTCCTCATCCTCCTCCGAACCCTGTCGCTGCTTTCCTCGGTTCAGCCTCACCTGCTGCGTCGCCCACCTCCTCGCCTTCTTATCGTCATTCTCCTTCTTCCTCTTCTCGTCCACGATGCGGTTCGCCGCCCTCACAGCTGCGTGCTCTGGCAGTGGCGTGATGAAGGCCCGAAAGCCCAACCCCGCCGACAGCTCGATGAAGCCCGTGTCTGGCCGCATCGCGGGATGTCCTAGGATTAGGAACACGACGTCGGACTCCTCTGTCGCCTCCTTGATGCACCATGCGACCTCGTTGTCGTGGGGCGGCACCTGGGCGAGCACCGTCCCATCAAGCTACGCGTCGGGCGTCATCCCGTATAGCAAGAGGGCGCGCGCCATCAGTGGCGCCACCCTCGTGTGATATGCCCCGATGACACCGGCCCCACGAAGGCCGTGTCTCTTTAGGACATGATGGCGTCAAGGATATGGCACATCCTCTTCTTTTCCTTCTTGGGAGGTCCCCACGACCACACCTGCGGCGCCTCTTCGATGAGGCGTCCGGTGAAGTCCGGCAAGGGGGAGGTGGCATCGTTCTTCACGTAGAACCACTGTGCATGCCACCCTTTGTTGGACCTCAACAGCTGGCAGGGCATGTACTCGGTGGACCGCTGCCCCCGAAGGTGGATGCCCGCGTAGCCCATCGGCACCGACAGGTCCCCAGCTCTATCCCTCTTCTTAAGCAAGGAAACGAAGAAGAAGTACCTCCACAGTTCGAAGTGGGGTTCGATCCCCAGGTACCCCTCACACAGCGACGATGAAGGCCACGATATGCTGGATCCCGTTGGGGTTCAAATGATGCAGCTCAATCTGGTAGTGGTGCAGCAATCCCCGAAAGAACGGATGGGGAGGAATCGAGAGTCCGCGCTCGTGGAAGAGCGCAAAGGACACAACGTAGCCATCGGGCAACGCTGACGCCTCCTCGTGACCGAGCACTAGCCACTCCGCCGCGTCGGTCCTCTCGCGGAGAAGACCACGCTTGACGAGGCCCTCTATACGCACATGGGTGACGTCGGAGTGATACCACGACTCCATGGGAGGCAATGCGGAAGAACGAGAGCTACGCTGACGGAGGAAGAGCGAAGGCAATAGATTCGATGGTAGAGAAGTGGAGAAGGCGAGGCTGCGGTTAGGCGTATCAAAAGATAAAGGGAAAGACCGCTATTTATAAGGGAAGGTGGAGCGAGAGGCGAACCATCCTCCTAGATCTATGCGCCTGCCATGCCTCGTCACATCGCTCTCCGAGAAACGTGCGCACGCCACCTCTGGCCGCTCCCTCGAAGGACGCGCCGGATAACGGTTTGCCCCATTCGATGGGCCGAGAACCGCCACAGGTAAGGACGGATACGAAGCTGAAAACGCTCCCACGGCCCATTCAGGCCTAGGAGTTCGAAGGTTGGCCCACCGACGAGTTCATAACCGCTCCGGGGCGCCTTTAGAGTGAGGGGTGAAAAGGGATGGGCCCGCTAGCGGCCAGTACCCGGGCGCACGAGCGCCGCAGGCATCCCGGCCCATGTTCGAGTCTTGGTCGGTTCATAGTCCATGGTTTTTCCTCAAAGAAATGCAGCAAGCCCTTGGGACCGATCGAACGGACCCAAGAACTATATGGATTGGCTGCCAAAAATCTGGAGTCGGTCACTAGCTGACCCATGCCGGACCCCCATGAAGGGAAGCCAGGGCCCCACTCGGACTAGCCCGTTAACAGCTCATCGAGCACCATGATTCCTCCACCGAGGAAAATATGGCACGGCTCAGCCCCTCTGTTTTATCGAAAAAACTCTTGAGGGAGGACGATCACAAGACAAGCTGGCCCCTCGACCGGACCCCTGCTACGCTCGGGGGCTCGAGGGAAGTTGGACTCGTAAGGAGACCGAATACGCGGTCGCATGACGATGGCGGATCGATCGGATCCTATGGAGGGATCGGAATCAAGAGAAATCTTTTTCGGCCCCCCGAATCCCACAGCTACATGTTCCCAAGGAGTTCGATCGCGACAGGAGGGAATCGCAACCCTACCAAGACACACCGCGGGCTACAAAGGGAGACCGAGGCCCTCAGAGTCCTCCCGCTTGAAAAAAGCCTCCAAAGGAGTTTTCTACTCCTCCGCAAGCTCGGGGGCTACTGTCGGATATCGATATTAGGGATACCCGGAGAAAGGAAGTTAACGGCCAAGAACGTTAATTCGTCCGGATGGTCCAAAACGTATTTAAGATCTCGACCGACCCCAAGGGCGCGGGCTCCGTCTCGCCAGACCCCTTGGGTGCGGGTTCCGTCTCGCCCGACGGGGATCCATACCGCCTCCAACCACTACGGGTCTAAGAGTACGACCCCAGGGTCAAACTTCTAACACCGGGAGGGAAGCGGGCACGTCTCGACGTGACCCGTGGCCACGACGGACCATACCTAGGGACTCACGTCGCCAACAATGTCGGACGTGCCAGCACTATGCTGCCTAATCCCCGTACGGCTTCTGACAGGAGTACCTGTTAATCACGCCGCCCGCCAGAACGGAGTGAAGCGTCACGCCCGACTGATGATGCCTGCGTATTGCGCCAGTGACGAACAGGACCGCGACATAGAGGCGTCCCCGTCATCATCTACAGGACCGACAGGACCCGCATTAAGGAGATGAAGGACGCCACAACCCTGAAGGCCTTCTTCTCCCTCGCTTCTCATTTTTCTCTCTGTAACATGCGCCTTCCCCTTCACCTATAAAAGGGAAAGCAAGACGCCCCATGAAGGACACGGCTGAGCAGCTGAACAAACTCTCAGGACTTTTTCAATCCTTTCACCAAAGACCTAGGATCCACTCCCTCTCTCGCCCATCTGTAACCCCTACTACAGACAGTACCGATAACACGAGCAGCAGCAGACTAGACATAGGGACGTTCCGCCCGAACCAGTATAATCCTTATGTCCTCTGAGCGCATCATCCGGACCAGACACGCAAACTAAATATTTACTAGGAAACACCGACAAAATGCAAAATGCAACTCGCATGATATCTCCATTCTCCATGTTCCTGCTCATCTCAGCCCTGTAATTTCCTTACATGCTTTTAACTTTAACATAAGGCAAGATTGGTGGACACTATGATAACTGCTATAGATTTCAGTTCATCCATTAAAACCAAGACCAAGCAAAAAAAAACAAGGGTGTAATAGACAACGAACAGTATCAGCAAGAAAAACTCTACCTTCAGTAGAGCAAGAATGCAATTGGTGAAAGGAACACATTAAAAAATCGGTTCCCTTTATGTTTTCTTTCCACATTTTATACTCCTCTCCTTGCTCAATCCAATATTAAACACCAGCGCAACTGGTTAGAGCATCGTCACCAGTCACCACCACTGGTATCAAATAATGAAGCACTTGAGTTTTAAGGAAATCGCCGCAAGAAATCCATTAGCCAGGATAATACAATAACTCGATGCATAAATTCAAGCATATTCGCTTCGGCAGCTGTCCGTAAAGAAAATCGCCGGAAAAAGCTTCCCTCTGATTGGAACTATAGGTCAGTGGAGAATGAAAAACTTTGCCAGGCCATGGCCACACTGTGCATATGGTACACATTTTCCCTCTTGATTAACAAACTACATGTGTATCTGATTCGGTGACAACTTTTTTTTTTCTGGTGGTCTGGAGTACTGCCATTAATGTTTGCTTAGATCAGACTGTGGCTGCTCTTTCACAAGCTTTGTAGTAAAGTGTCTTCTGCACATAGAAGAGCATGTATGCCTGAGAAGTCCTGACAGTATGCTCCTCAACTCTGGTTACCCAGGCATCATCACATTTGTACCAATGATTGTTTAACCTCAGATATGTCACATAATGGCCAGCTTCTAGCTTACCACTATGTGTGATCACTGCAAATATTTCAAATTCTGATGACAATTCTGAAACTGCATCTGCATCACTAGCTTCTGCAGGAAATATGCGGTTACCATATCTACTTCTGAGAATAGATGATGACAAGTAAGGTGCCATGTCAAGGGAAAAGGGAAACTGAAAACAGTGATCAACTTTCCTTGACACCTTTTTGACTGATGAATGCTCAAATCTCTTTATGTGAAAGCAGGAAACTAATGGAAGCCTGCGAACGGACATTTGCTTCAGGGACTCTTGCCTCTCGTTGCAGTGTTCACAGAAGAACTTTTGCTCAGCATCAAGTCTCTCTGACCTTGTAAACCGCTCCAAACACCTCATTAGTGTTGATACCTTGGAATTCACGCCAGCCAAGCCCCGTTCCCCATTGCGCACATGCGGCTTTGTGTTTGCAACACCAAAAGAACAGTTATCCCCAGCATCCATGTCCAAGGAAATGTCCATACAGGGCTCAAAAGTTGTGGATGTGAACCCACAGCTTGTGCATGTGACATCTGACCTCAGGATACCAGAAAACACTCTGTGGGCGATGCAACAGTCCCCATGGCCTATTATGAGAACAAATGACAGTGTTAGGATTTGACATTATCTGTGATTATTTTTACTCAAGACAAATCATGTTCCAACAAATCAAATGAAAAAGTTAACACTACTTTATCCAAAAAAAATTGGGCTGATTTGATATTTGATCACCTAATAATACTGGAAAACTATCCTTTTCCTACTTGCCAATTTTGGTGAAAAAGCCAGGTTATCCTTCAAAGAGATGTGGAGCCAAGAGTAAAAAAAATGTAACTAGTACTCACAAGTTTAGAGATTTGCTATTCTAACACATGGATCTAGCTGTGCTCGTCTCACACAGAAGTTTGAAAGTGTGTTCTTGTTACTCCTATTATTAGATCCACCGCTATATAAAACAAAATGATCTGACCTTGATTTAGACAAACTAACTTGCAATCTAGAAACAAAACATCATATGTAGCCACTTGATACAGATTTCAGTTGGCAACATGTGCAAAGGTCTTTTATCCTGAAAGTAGCAAAAGAGAAGCGTACCTTGGGCATGTGACTTTTGTTGATCATCCTTTATATTTTCATGGATGTGGTCAAGGATGGAAATAAAGAATTCATGAGCATCCTGTTGCTCGTAGCTTGCGAGGTTTGATGCATGCTGCCACCAACTAAAAAATCACAATGATACTCAATAATCAGAAGAAATTTAAATACTTCTATTCAGGAGGTAGAATAAATAGATGTCATAATGTTTCCTATGCTCAGTCTCATATAGAAGACTAAAGCATGGAATTCATATGATCCAGATATCCTGAAACATGGGAACTGTAATAAAATCCATGCAACATAGATCAGGCGCCCCAGAATACCTATAAACTGATCTGGCCAACTGTTACCTGCATTGAATTTGCAGATTTTCATGCATTTTATCACTTAAAATATTTTTAGACAGTTTAATGACTGCTAAGCATGCCAGATGACTTAAGCAGTTAGGCCCAGTAAGGTTAACTTGAGAGCTTAAGGTTATATGTTCGATACAGAATAGGATGCCATGTCACCAACCAATTGTCATGTATTGAGACGTGTAACTGTTCCCCCTTTTCTACTAGCATTACAATAACATATAATGCTAAAAATGCCATGCCATGTCATCAATCAATTGCCATGTATTGAGATGTGTAACTGTTCTCTCTTTTCTACTAGCATTACAATAACATATATTAATGCTAAAAATGCCTCCCTCTTTAGTTGCACATTCTCTGCTCATTCCATTTTGTATTAAGTAGCTCCATTTGCAATCCTGCACGATCATTGTCTAGTTGAAATACAAGGCATATAATCCAAATAACACTGTAATGTATCTTTGCAAGCCAGAAATACAACCCAACATCTCAGGCAAGATTCCCTTCCCCACGTTACAACTCATCAAGAACCCATTTTAGCTACCAAAATATTAACTTCGCTTTCCCAATACGCAATGGATCCAACAGAAAGGAAGGCAGCATGCTGCTATAAACCCGAAATGGCATCAACCATTGCGATTAGCGCGCGAGATCCAGAGTCCAGACCTATATAGAAACTTGGCGGGGCTGTACGGCATGCGCTCCCCGGAGAAGGCCACGGAGTAGATCTCGTCGAGGTCACACGCGAGGCAGGAGACCCTGGCGGCGTCGGCGTCCGTGGCGCGGTGCCTGACGGGCGTGCGGCGCGGGCAGAGGAACCGGTTGTGGCGATCACCGAGGAAGTAGTTCCGGAGCGGGGGCGCGTGGAGGAGCGCCTGGAGCACGGAGTTCATGAAGCAGGTGTTGCCGAGGTTGTTGAGCCCCCGGAGCCCCGCCGGCGCGGCGGCGGAGGCGGAGGTGGTGGGGTCCGCGGAGCTCATGAGCGCGAACTCGGCCGGATCTGGCGCCCACGCGCGGTAATCCACGCGCCGGCGCTTGCGGAGCGCCGCGGACGGGGACGGGGAGGCGGAGGTGGAGGGGAGGAGCGAGGAAGACTGGGCGAGGAAGACTGCGTGGTCGAAGTCGGGATCGTAGACCTGGTCTCCGCAGGCGGCGCAGAAGAGCTCGGCGCGGTCGACGTCGACGGCGATCTGGTGGCCGGGCCCCGCGGAGGCGGAGGCGTGCGAGGCGGCGTGGGAGGGGCAGAAGACGGCAGCGCAGGAGAGGCAGGCGTAGAGGCGGGAGGTGGGGGACGGGGCCGCGGCGGCGCAGGGCGAGCAGCGCGGCAGCTCGCGCGGGTCCCGCCGGATCTCGGGGCGGCCGAGCGGGCGCACGCGCAGGCAGCGGCGGAGGAAGCGCAGCGGGCGCGAGGACAGGCGGTGCGCGGCGAGGTGCGGGCAGGGCGGGGGCGCCGACAGGGTGGACATCGGGGACGGGAAAGGGGGTGGGTTGGTGGGGACAGCGGCGGCTGCCGCGGGGGTGCGGGCGGGCCGGAGTGTGACGGCAGGTGATGCGGTATATGGGTCATGGTCCATGGAGTCTCGCTCTGGGTCGGAACTCCGAAGAAGCGGTTCAGGAACAGGGTGCACTGCAGGATCAGCATCTGAACGGGCGATCAGGCTCTCCTCAGCTTTGCAAACTTGCAAACCATAGCATAAAAATTTAATTCGCATTCCACAATGAAGCTGACACTTTGGGAGTTGGGACAGCTGAAATGTAGAGATTACGTGGGCCATCTGAGCATTTTGCCCTGTTCGTATCACTAAAATTTAGTTTAGGATGACTATGCTTACGCTGATTTGTTGAGAAGAAAACACTGTTTTTCGCTGAAATATACTGCTGAAGTAGTGTCGCAGAACATGACGTAACTTTCTAGAATCCCACCCGAAATCTTCCGGAAATCAGTCTAAAAGAACACTTTTATGAAGACGATTAACTCCACTGAATTACAGATGAATCATAGTTGCGTCATTCTCATTCAGTTCTTACAAACAACTTATTTACCCTTAATGAAAACTTAAAAAGAACTTATTTACAGTAAGCAGCGTGCTCATCGCATCAACTGCTATAAAACTTAGGGTGTGTTTAGTTGGGGAGGTAAAAATTTTTGGGTGTCACATCTTTGCGTCGAAAGGATGTCGGGAGGGGTTTTTAGATACTAATAAAAAAACAAACTACAGAACCTATCAGGAAACTACGAGACGAATCTAATGATACTAATTAATCAGTCATTAGCACATGTGGGGTTACTGTAGCATTTAAGGCTTTTCATGGACTAATTAGGCTTACAAGATTCGTCTCGCGATTTTGTCGAGAACTGTGCAATTAGTTTTTTTTTCGTCTACATTTAATACTCCATGCATGTATCAAACATGCTCTTTTACTGTATGAGGAAAAAAAAATATTGGAAACTAAACGAGGCCTTACAGTAACTGAACGAGTGCATTGCTCCTCCTATTTACTCCTGTCTAACTGTCTTCATCAGGGCCTGGAATTTGTACAAATTACTGCTGTTGCTGCTACATCTATTCTGGCGGATTAACATACGCCAGAATACCGTAGACGGTTTGCACAATTGTGCAGACGAGGACGATGACTGCAGCAACTGCACCTGCAGCTAAGTAGCTAACCATGGGTTGCTGAAGTGATTCAGCCACAGCCATGGCATCCACCTGTTGATGCGGCTCTGATAGTGATCTTCCATAGTCTGACACAGAGATTTCAAGTAATAGTTACCACAGAAATTGAAGCCACATCTTTACTGAGCAGCGGGCGCGAGGACAGGCGGTGCGCGGCGAGGTGCGGGCTCGGCGGCGGCACGGAGGGGGTGGACGTCGGGGAGGGGAGGGACCAGGGTGGGGACAGCGGCGGCCACAGTGACGGGGTGGCCCGGTCGGGGTGGTGGTGCGGGTGCTGGTGGAGTGTGGCACCAGTAGGTGGTGCGGGGGGAGGTGGAGGTGGCGGTCCGATGGCGGTGGCGGTCGTGGCGATGGTCTGATGGGTGACGCCATGGATAGCGAGTCCTCTAAAGTCGACCGAAACGACTTCCCTCTCCAGTCGAACATCTGAACCATCCAATATGCATCCAACCGTGAGACCAGCAAACACTGCAAACAAAGCAGGCCTGTAAGGCTGTAACCGGCCCATATGAGCCCAATGGCTAGTGACTAGTGAGTTCGGGAGTTCCTGGGCGCGAGTCCCTGCTCCTGCGGTAATTTTTCTGACGCGAATCTGTCCTCTAGTCTAAGATGCTGTCCTAAAAGCAGAAAAACAGCCACAAGGACCATGTGAGCAGTACAACCCCACAAAGACCACACATGAGACTTATCCATCATTCTCCCCCTAAGTCTTGTGCGTCGTCTTGTGGGAGAGTTGAACCATCCAGTCCCGAGGCGCAGAGCTCAAGGAACTTGATCCTCCCAAGGGGCTTGGTGAGCGGTCCGTAAGTCGGTCCTTGGTGTTGATGTAGCTCACCTTGATGCTCCCTTCCTCCAAATGACCTCGGATGAAGTGGTACCTCATCCGGATGTGCTTGCTGCGTTAAATGGAACACGGGGTTCTTTTGCCCGTGGCAGAGCGGACTTGCTGTCCACCCCAGAGCTCCACCGCTCTAGTGTCTCTGCCGAGGAGATCACCAAGCGGCCGAGCGAGCCAGGCGCTGAGTCGAGCGGTGGAGGCCGCTATGTACTCGGCCTCGCAATGGACAGGCCACCACCACCGCTTGACCGACCATTGCCAGACTAACAAGGCACTTGCCGAGGAAGAAGAGGATCCCGCCGTGCTCTTGCCGGTGTCGATGTCGCCGGGCGTGGTCGCTGTCATTGCCATGCCTGCAGAAGCAGTGTGCCGCCCTAGGGCACCTCGGGTAGTAGAGGCCGTGGTCGAGAGTCCCCACAACATAGCGGATGATCCTCTTCACAGCTTTCTTTGGTGCTCATCATCGGTCATTTGCATGAACCGACTAACGAGTCGACAGAGAATGCCAAGTCCGGCCGTGTGTGGACGAGGTAGCGAAGGCTCCCCACAAGACGCCGGTGATCACAGTGGCGCCCACCTCCTCCGTCGTCTTCATCATGACTCGACTTCACCTCTCCTCCATCGGAGTGAGAGCTGGGTTGCGATCGGTGAGCCCAAATAGCTCAACGACGCGCTTGGCGTGGCGGTCTGTCGAAGTGTGATCCGGAGTCATTCTGGTGCACCTCGATGCCCGTAGAAGGAGAGAGGCCCGGTCACTCATCCGGAAGGTGGCCTTCATCTCTTCCTTGAATGCTGCCACCTTCGCATCCTTGGTGCCGGTGATCACCAAGTCGTCGACGTAGACACCCACCAGCAGAGCAGTTCCTCCACTGCCCCGTCGGTAGATGGCCGCCTCGTGCGGGCTTTGCTCGAAGCCCATCCCCTTTAGCATGGAATCCAACTTGGCATTCCACGCCCTCGGTGCCTGCCGCAAGCCATAGAGGGCCTTGCGTAGGCGGAGCACCTTGCCCTCCTTATCGGGGATCGCAAATCCCGGCGGCTGGTGCACGTAGACCTCCTCCTTCAAGTCGCCGTTAAGGAACACCGACTTGACGTCCATGTGATGAACACGCCAGCCCTCCTGGGCAGCTAGCGCAAGGAGGAGTCGCACGGACTCCATCCGTGCCACAGGAGCAAAGGCGTCGTCGAAGTCGACCCCCTCCTGCTGCACGAAACCTCGTGCCACCAAGCAAGCCTTGTGCTTGACGATGGCACCGGCTTCATCCCTCTTCAGTTTGAACACCCACTTAAGGGTGATCACGCGGTGACCACGAGGAAGGTCAGCAAGCTCCCAGGTGCGGTTCTTCTCGACCGCATCCATCTCCAACTGCATCGCGACGCGCCATGCCGCGTGTCTCTCGGCCTCTGCATATGACCGAGGCTCGCCGTCGTCACACGCAAGGTGCAACTGCGCCTCCAGGTCGTGAGGCACCGGTCCCGGCACCGGCTGGTCGCCGAGAAGGTTCTCCATCGTACGGTACCACAATGGCTCGCCGTCGTGGTACGCATCGACACACTCCTCGTCGTGAGAGAGCGGAGTAGCGAGCTCAACCGGGTCGTGCTCGACACGAGCTGGTGGTGGAGTAGACGTGCCCGAAGTGGTGCCTGTCAGTGCTGGAGTGCGCGACGTTGTCGGCCGTAGTGGAGCCAGCGAAGAACTCATCGCAGCCGAGGTCCTGGCTGGAGAGTGTGGTGTTGTCGGAGTAGCAGGCGCCGTGGTCGGTGGAGGCTCGGGGAATGGGGTAGACGCGCTTGCCGAAGAAGAGCTGCCTACTCCCCTAGCTCCCTCGAAGTGGACGTACTCGACAGTGAAGTCGTCGTACGTCGGAGCCGAGGCGTCATCCACCGCCTTGTCCCACGCCCATCCTCGCCCTTCGTCGAACACAATGTCGCGCGCCGTGCGCACACGCTGTGTCTTCGGGTCGAGGATACGGTAGGCCTTCGAGCCCTCCGTGTAGCCGATGAACACTCCCGGAGTGCTCCTATCGTCGAGCTTGCTGATGTGGCCAAGCTCCTTGGCGAACGCGAGGCAGCCAAAGACCCGCAAGTGGGAGACCGCCGGCTTGCGCCCATGCCAAGCCTCGTACGGTGTCCTGCCGTTGAGCGCCTTGGTAGGCGAGCAGTTGAGGATGTAGACGGCCGTCACCACCGCCTCTCCCTAGAAGACAGCCGGCATCCCCCTCTGCTTGAGGAGGGCCCGAGCCATCCCCACAACCGTCTGGTTGCGCTGCTCGACGACGCCGTTCTGCTGCGGGCTGTACGGCGCGGAGTAGTAGCGCTGAATGCCCTCGTCAGCGCAGTACGATGCGAATTCAGCCGCCGTGAACTCACCGCCATTGTCGGTGCGCAGCACACGCAGCTTGCGGCTGCACTCCGCCTCCGTAGTAGCCTATGCACGCCTGATAGCGTCCGCAGCCTCTCCCTTGCTGCCTAGGACCATCACCCACATGTAGCGGGAGAGGTCGTCGACGAGCAGCAGGAAGTAGCGTCGTCCTCCCGGTGTGGCCGGTGTCACTGGGCCACACAAGTCCCCATGCACAAGCTCGAGCCTCTCCTTGGCTCGAAAGCTCACCCGCTGGGGAAAGGGGAGTCGCCTCTGCTTCGTCAACACGCAGACGTCGCAGAGCTGCTCCACATGGTCAAGGCACGGCAGGCCTCACACCATCTCTGTGGCACTGAGCCGCTTGAGGGCCTCGAAGTGAAGGTGCCCGGCAGTGCTCGTGCCAGCATCACGCCTCGTCATCCCGACGAAGCGGCCGAGACAGAGGGGTTGCCACCACCGCGTTAAGGATGTAGAGTCGATTTGCGTTTACGGATACCTTGGCAAGAAGGCGGCGACGACGATCCCAAATCCTCATGACTCCATCCTCAACCACCACGCTGCGAACTATTCTCATCCAAATGTCCCCAAGCCGATGATGGAGTTCCTCAACGCGGGATGTAGACTCCGGTGAGCGACTTTGTGCTCACGGACATGGTGGTGAAGATGACGGAGCCGACGCCTTGATCTCCATCGCCGGGAGGCATCCCCAAACTTGAGAGAGCCTCGGGCGCTAGAGTCAAGCTCGGTGAAGAACTCCGTTGACCGGTCATGTGATGGGTGGCGCCGGTGTCGAGGCACCACCCGTTAGTCTTGTCGTTGCCGGAGCCGTCACCGAGGAGGGCGTGTGCTTTTGGCTCGTCAAGGTGGAGGAGAGCCGCTGGAGGTAGCTCGAATGCCGGGCATGTGCCATGAACAGAGCCGTTCCTCCTCCTCCGCTTTGTCGACGTGGGCTGGCCGCGTCGTGGTTGCCGACATCCTTGGCCCAATGGCCAAGCTTAGCCGCGATTCTGCGGCAGTGTCGTCTCGTCTTGCTTGTAGCTGCTGCGACGGTGCCGCCACAGCGCCTCGGGCATCACCCTCGGCACGCCCTCGCGCCTTCACTGGCGCTGCTGCTGCTTGCCACGCTTATGCGATCGCTTATCGCGGAAGAAGGCTCCCCTTCCTCCGGTCACCCCAGGCCGGCAAGCCACTACTCCCGAAAGTGAGAAGGAGCTTCCCGCCAGTGGTGATGGGCCCCAAGAGGGACTGTGGCTCATCGCTGTCGACGACCTTGAGGCGACCTATCGCCTCCTCGATCGACATCGTGGAGAGATCCAGCAGAGACTCGATTGAGCGAGCTATCTGCCTGTACTTCTCGGGGACGCAGCGGAAGAGCTTTTCGACAGCTCTCTCCTCGCCGTAAGTGTCGTCGCCGAACTGCACCATCTTCTGCAATAGAGTTTTGAGACGGAGAGCAAAGTCATCAACGTCCTCACCTAGCTTGAAGGCCAGGTTCTCCCACTCCTTGCGAAGTGCCTGCAGTGTGGACTTGCGGGCGCGGTCGCTACCGATGCGTGCCGCAGCGATGGCATCCCAAGCCTCCTTGGCAGTCCGCTTGCTGGTAAGCGAGAACTGCATCTCAGGTGGGAATGCAGCGATGAGAGCATCCAGCGCCCGTCGATCTAGGTCGTAGTCGACGTCGCCGTACCGGACTGCCTCCCACATGTGCCGCACTGAGCTTTACCTCATCACCGTAGCCCACTCGACGTAGTTGGTCTTGGTGAGGGTAGGCCACCCACTGCCGGGGCCGACGTCCCTGACGATGGCCTGGAGCCCGTGGTAACCACGGTACCGATCCGGGGAGTGAGAGCCACGCTGCCTGTGACGGCCGCGCTCTCCATCGACCCGTCCACCACCGTCGCCGTGCGCGCCTCCTCCAGGAGTGCCACCGCCGTGCGCGCCTCCTCCAGGAGCGCCGCCAGCAATCCGCGCTGCCGTCTATCTACCGCCACGCTTCGTGGCGTCGTCGCGCTGGAGCGCCACCACCGCCGCGCGCGCCTCCTCCAGAAAGCGCCGCCAGGCAAGGTCCGCTGTCACGTTCGGCTGCCGCCACGCTTCGTGGGGCGTCGCGGCTGCCATCGCGCCGCCAGCCTGCGCCGCCTCCCTCTCTAGCAGCTCGAGGTCGCGTCGTGCGGTGTCGTCGGCGAAATGGAGCCGCCGATGCTGCGCGTGAGAGCTCGACCTCGGCTACCGCCGCCGCCGCAGCATCCATTGCCGCTGCTGCCTCCGCCTCGCTCACATCTCTTTGCCATTCATTCTTGCCGACCTCGACGCTTTTTGCCGCCGCCGGCTGTCTCTGTTGCCGCTTCGCTCGCGTTCCTCTGCCGTGGCAAGTTCGGCCTCTGCCCGACGCCAGGCTCGAGGGCGACCGGCCGAAGAGACGGCCCTCGCGGACATGGCGCTCTTCTTGGGCTGCTGCGCGTGGTGAGAGGCTGCCAGACGAGCCGCTTTCGTCTGCCAGAGGGAGAGGAGGGCAGGAGCGACCGGAGCTGCTGCTACTCTCGCCTAGGGCTGCTGCGGTGGGCAAGGGGATGAGCAGAGATGCTCGGAGCTACAGGATACTACGGCTCGATACCACTTGTTAGTCATTGAATTCTCACTCTTGATAGTAGGAGAATTCTTACTCTCATCGAGAGAGATGACACTAGGAGTTGGGGCAATTTCTTGTCTATTTCTTACTCAAATGCCATGCCAACCTCGAGGGGTTGGGGTTACATATTATATAGGTGCTAGCCGACCAAGCATATGCCAAGATGCTAGTCTAAGATGCTAGTCTAAGATGCTAATATGCTGTCCTAGCTAAGATGTTGTCCTCTAGTCTAAGATGTTGTCCTAAAAGCAGAAAAACAGCCACAAGGACCATGTGAACAGTACAACCCCACAAAGACCACACATGAGACTTATCCATCAGAATCCTCCTCGCTGGTTTGGCGCCGGCCTCACGTTTTTGGCGCGAGCCGTGAAGGTCGTGCGGCGGCGGTGATCGATGGAGGTCGTGCGCTGGGCTCAGGTTTCTGCTTGTGCTCTCCATCAGCAAACTGGTAGCAAAATCTCTACACTAGTGTCATGTCATCTATTGCTCTCCATCAGCAAACTGCTTGTTCTAATTTGATTATTTTTTTGTCCTCCCTTACTGGATTGTGCTTGCATTGATCATTGAAGGAAGACTGATGCGGAAGCTCTGAATCCTACACGGTCATCGATAGCTTCTCTCAACTATTGACGGTAATATTTCAAAGTAAAATAATACACTTCTTCTCTGAATCATACTTGCCCATTATGTTGAATTATTGCTTTTCTATTTTCCAGGGAGCAATGACAGATGCTGTTATTGGTGAATTCTAGTAGTACAGATACAGATTATATCACATCTGCAATCAGGAGTATGGCTCAACAGCCTCCTTGGCCATCATGTTCAGATAGTTTTGGTTTTCTAGTTTTGTGTAATCAGCCATACGAAACTAGTATTTTATAGTCCACCGACGACCATGGGGCGACAGGGCCTGCAGCCACGAAGCCGGAGCGTCACGGTGGTACAGATGTGAGTGCCGGCGAGGCGAGGAACGCTGTCACCATAACCAGCCACGGGCCGGTAGCGTCTGCGACGACGGCGCCATATTGACCGCGATGGCGGGGGCGGGGAAGGGGAGCGCCGGCAAGGTAGGAGCCTGCTGACGTGCCACGCCGCTGGATCAGAGAGGAGAGGGGAGGGGAGCGCCGGCGAGGTAGAGAACTCGGAGCGTCGTGGTGGCGGACGGCTAGGGAGAGGAACGCTGACCCGGCCATCGGCGGCGATGGCAGAGTCGACCATGGATATGTGCGTCGTGATGTTGGGCCGGCCCAGCAAGCCAAGTGCAGCAGCGCATATTTCTGGCTCCACCGTTGGATAGAAGTGAACGGCTAGATGCACAGCAACTACATAGACAAGTCGCTTCGGTCGACTTCAGAGGATCTTGTTCCGACGCCGTGACGGTATTGGGTTTATGGACTCGTGTAGTCGTCGGCAGAGGCGGAGCACTGCGAGATCGGGAGTTTCGGGACCTGGGTCCTGGCCTCCTGGGGCGCACGATCAGGTCCTCACCAATGCAAATGCAATTAGCAACTGTAGCCGTTATGAGCAGCGGGCACGGGACCGAACTCGGAATCCCACGATTTTTGCTGCACGAGCACAGAGGGCCTCGCCAATGCAACAGGCAACTGTAGTAGGAGCACGAGCACGGCACCGAAGCCGGCAACGAACGATTCTTCGTTCCATTTCGCGATGATTGAAGTGAATATTTTCTTGACGGATGAAACTATATTCAAAATAAAGTTTCCAAATATGTAAAAGGCCTTATACAACCATTAGATTTTTTTCTCGAATACGCAAAAGATTTGTGCATCTTTGTATTAAGGTAGAAAAGTTTGAAACAAACAGCTTGGACCAACTTAGCAAACAGAAACAAATTTCGATATTACATAAATGGTAGATAACCAGGATAAGACCAACAGCACAGCCTAAGAAGAGGTCTTGCGCTTCCGTTGTGGCTGACCCAACTCCTTCCCGCCGTACTGGAAGAGCGCTTCCAGCGCTTCAACGTTGGAAGCGCTTGGCTCGGCCTCGTAAAGCGTCTCGTAGGTCTTTGTCACCGATTCACTTGGCGATGACAGACCCGCAACCAAACCCATTCGCTGCACGATTGGGATCTCACCTCGCTTGGATGCAGGCACCCGAGAGAGGCTTTGAGCCGTTAGACGCTTGCTCCGCCACGGCAGCACCGCCTTTGCAGGCGATGGCTTTGGTGGCTCATGAATCAGCGGAGAGGCTCTCTTACGCACCACTTTCTTGGTGAAGTTGTCGAGGCGGCGCTTGAAGAGGCGTCGTGGTCCACGGTAACAAACAATTATGAGACATGATACTCCATTTGATATTTAAGTAAACTTGTATCGGGCATGTTTGGATGTGGAGGCTTGCCTGATCTTACTCAACCAGGCAAACTTAACCTTGCTCATTACGGAGAGCTAATTTGGCTAGCTTACTTCACAGAAAAAAACTGGTTTACACGAAAATTAAGACAGCAAAGCGAGGGAACCCAACTCACTGCTTTCTTCAATTTCTACTAGTTGGCGGAGGCAAGATAAACAAATGTGCCTGAAATTTTACACGGCAACAATTCAGAGATACCATCACTTCTGAGACATTTTGAATTGCCACAATGAAGTCTATCATAAAGCAGTTTGTATAGATGGCATGGAGCGGTCTATAGGTTCATCAGAGATACCGTCCGCTGTTCTTACCAGCAGAGAAGGTACGGCTTACATTCTTTAGACTTCTCTTTTTTCTCTCTAACTGCGTGTTTCTTCTGATTCCCTGTTTCCCACCTCTGACCTTCCGCTTGTAGCTACAAGTAGGTTCATGTAGGTTTAAGTAAGTGTGCATTCTTCACGAAGCTTCACATTTCATGTTGTATCACCAAAAAAACAAGCGTCCAGTTTATAGAGCAGGGAGTACGACAAACGACCGCTTCAGAGATACATGTCGGACTCATATTTACCGCAGTAATTTGTTTTACACTGGTGGCTTAATGTACGCCAATATTCCAAAAACTGTTTGTATTATCGTACAGACAAGAACAAGTACTGCGGCAAATGCAGCTAAGCCCAACCAAGGATTACTGAAGTGATTTAACCAAAAAGCCAAGCCATCCAACGATTCAGACGACTCTGGTAATAGGTTTCCATCGTCAAGCAGAGAGACTTCAAGTAATACTGGCCATTGAAATCAAAGACTACGTCTTTGCTGAGCAGCGTGAACAGATCCGAAACCATTTCATCACTGTCAAGATGATGCATGATGATCTCTTCTTTTGCAAGCACTGTAACATCTTCAGGCATACTAATTAGCTGAGACAGGAACACAATATAGGCTGTGAAGTCGTCCCCAAATTGAGGGCATGTTTGCTCAAAAGCAATAAGGTTCCTGAATAAGGTCCCCGTGTACTCATCTACTATAATGCATGGGATTTCCACTGTACCATTTGTAAACTTAACATCCAACAAGGAATGGGGATTGAAATTGTCATAATAACGCTTCTTAAATTTGACTCCAGCCTCTAGATACTGTGATGTCCTGCGCCAACGGTTTAGAGCCTGACCACCTTGTAGGTAATCCACCTCCTGGCAGGGAGGAAAGCTTGGGTCATTCGCCTCGAGATCATGACCAATCTTGAGATACTTCCGTCCCAAAATACGAAACATGTCAAAGTACCGGGAGCGACTGTCATAAAAGTGTTCATTTTCTGATCTCCTGCTAGGCCTGAAGTACATATGACACAAGTGAAGCAAATGATGGAAATCTTTTGGTCGATCTGATTCTGAGATTGCTTTTGGGTACCATCGCAAGGCAGTTTCCACAAATATGACTATCTCGTCAGTCCAGTTAGAAGCGGAAGCTGAAGCTTCTGTACCAGCTACTAGCTCAAATATTTTGCTGACAATTAAGAATGGTATTTGGTTTTCTAGCAGAAAGAGGTCATGATTAAGAAAACAAATAAACCACTGTCCAGATTGCTCGTTTTGTTGGTCACATTCAACTCTATTCAGGTCTTCCTCTTGATTTGTTGGACTGTCCCCGGTGTTCGATGCACTGTCTCCTGCATGCTCTGGATATTGCGTTCCTGCAGTGGGTGCTGAAAGCCCTTTACTCCCACCCAAGCCGACCAGAATGAAACACCCATCTAGCAATAGCATCTGTAAAAACTCCTCCGTACCCATTTTGACGTCATCAGAGTAGCAATTTTTTGCCTGTTTTGATAGTTCCTGAAGTGTGGTCAGGTAATCCAGCAAACTTTTCCTACAGTTCAGTTTAAGAATTTCATCAAGAAATCCCCATTTCATCTTCTCCATGCCTCGTAGCCTGGCAACCCCATTGTGATATGGGCCAATAGACAACATGAATGGTTCATAAGAGAACTTGTCAACTTCACGGATGTGTTGCTGAACTTTATGGATCATGCAAAATTTCGATCCCATGTCAGGCATATCACCAAGTGACCAATAGTAATCAAGCTCCCTCTTCATGGAGCTCAACAATTGACCAATATCTACGACCTTGTTTTTTCCAGTTTCTTTTTGGCTCGGAGACATCCTTACCTGTTATAGTGTCAATTGATTAGTCCACCTGTATGAATATATTATAGATAATGATAGATATAATTTATTTAACAAAGGAAGAAAAGCAAAAAGGAAAAGACACTTGTGAATCACTAACTAAGGGGAGGTAGCTAGACTTTGCTTTATGAATAAGCATGGGAAACAAACTCGGCAAGCTTTCAGATAAGAGAAGAAACTAAGAAGTTGGTCACAGGCTCAAAGCAGTTAGGTGATTAATAGCAATTTCAGTATTCAAATATTGATCCGAGAAATTTTGGAAGCTTTCCAGCATTCTAGAAATAAGTGATAATTGCTTGAGGCTTTTGGCTTCCACAATGAAGGAATGAAATTGACTGACAGAACTATGCCAATACTAAAATTCACCCCTGTTGGCCATCTGAAAATGGCTGAAATATTATTTCATATATAGCCTAGTCCGAAAACTGTAAATATGAATTCTACCTCCAGTCATGACATTTTGACGTATTCCATACCGATTAGTGGCATCAAAGAATAGGATCATCTTCAAAATCAATACTTTTTACTGATACTTTTGTGTAGTACATGTCTACAAAACACTTGGTCTAGATCCTCACCAAAAAAGAAATGGCCATCATCGTGAGAATTTAAACTTGAGGAATTCTTAACATATTACACAAATCATACACCTAAAGTAATAATAGAAGCCAGAAAAAAAAACATATATCCAGTTAAGATGCCAAATCTGGTAATCTAAATAGATCCTATGCAACAGGAATTAGTTCACAGAGGATGAGTGAAGGGATAAAAATTACCATGCTTGCTTAGTACGAAGGAGGAGAAATGGGAAATGCAGATAAACTAGCATTCCCCTTTTTATGCGATATAAACAAGAGGACCGATAAACAACTGTAATGGAGGGGGGTGGGGGTGGAATGAGTCAAGGCTGGAAAGACAGAACTGCCCTTTACTATTCATTTCCTTTGGTACATGCTCTTTCAAATGCTGTCATGCTGATATGTCCGCCACACAATGGTTCCTAATTTTGGCCCAAGTTTTTTTTGTGGATATGCGAAAAAATTTGGCCTGGTTAAAAGCAGTTCCGATCCATGACAACAACAACAAAAAAAAACACTCAGCTTTCCATTTTACGTATGAATGAAGTATCTGTTGCCGTTGAACTCTGCTTGTTTTACCATTAAACTGCCAACTCCCAAAATTAAGAACGCCCTTAAACTCGCTGGCCTCACAATGGTTAATGAGCTATTAATTGAGCTTTCCTAAGGTGCTACTTCTAGCTTCTCTCGGACACGTTACATGTTCAAAGATATTGATTCCTTATCTTCGTAATAATGGAAAATATCAACGTGCTTAAATCGAAGTCAGCTGTCGAGAGAATGCAGGCAGCGAAGTTCGATCCTACTACTATGCCGAAGTCCCATGATCGACATAAACAGAGAAAGAGAGACTGCTCCGGCTTTAAATAGGCCACGGCAGCTTTCGTCAATACATCAAATTGAGAGGTCTCTCAGCTCCAAGAAAATGAGTCCAAAATCTTCTCTGATTTTCGTATTTCTGACAAGCACGCTGCTCATTTCGTTCGTTTCATCGCGTCATGTTCCAGTAGCAGCTCCAGCGGGAGTTGGGGTCTGGGTGATCGGAGCAGACAACTCTTCTGGCGAGGAAGAGGTAACTTAATAAATCATAATGATGTATGATGTGTGATGGGTTTTATACCACTGTTTTGTTGCTTTTGCGATCGAACTGAAATGATAAAGGGAACATGAACGTGAGATTGTGGAATGCAACTGCAAACAGTACCCCCAAATTCCTGTGAAAACTTTTTACATTCTAAAAAAGTGTAATTTTTTGTTAAGTGTTTATTTGTGTCTTTGTTAACGTCGAGTTTACATATAAATGTATCAGAGATGCTTTTGAAGAAAATCTGTGTGACTAACAAAACCTTCTGTCCAATTCTGAAACACCAAGCTGACTTTCAGTTATATACTTATATCTTCATTCAGGGGGCAAGAATGCACGCCTGAATGGGCGAGAAGAGAAGACTATTCTTGGCGGACCCAATAATTTTACTTATCCCCGGCACCTTCCCCCATGCATGTCAAGGAAGTGTTGAGCACGGCATTTGCCAGCCATCGCAAATACCAAGATTACCTTGTAACCAGCAAAAGGGTTTCCTTCTCGTTTTAAAGTTTAACCTGAAATGTAAGAATAAGATAAGGACTGTTTAACTGGTGATGTAAACCAGGCGTGTATGTCAGAGGTGTGTCTTTGAATATCAACTAAGTATCCTTTATCTTCAATACTGTCCTACTGATCAATTAAGCAGAAAAAAATAAGAAAACAAAATAACATGCGGATGGAGGATATGAACCCGCACCACCACAATATGCCACTACAAGCAAGTATGAGGTTTACCCCCACATGGCTCAAGGCTCACACTTCAGCAAGTTTGGAATTCAAACCGAACAAAAAAAAGTCCGAACGCTGTTTTCCCTAAAATTTAGGTTGCCAGCCTTAAACAAAGATTTCGTTTGACCTCAAGTTCCTATATTGTACCAAAATTTGAATCGCTGGTTAAAGGAGTTCTGTGTTCTGAATGTACATGATGCATATATTCACATCCTAACAATAATATTCAGGCTGCAAGAGAGTGGATCCCCTCTATTTTAAGTATAATATATGCATGCATATCATCTTACACATCCCAATCTAGTAGTATCCACTATTTTAAGGATATATTCTGGCATATGTTGTCACCCTTCCCAATTTAGCCCAACCACAATGTAGTGCATGCTTGAATGGAAGACTCCATGGGAACAGTTCCATTGTATTCAGAAAAACGGACATGTTCCAAACAAGAGCGTACTAGGAAGCTGAGCTAGCTTAGTTGGTCAAGGGCCCAAACAAGAGCATACTAGGAAGCTGAGCTAGCTTAGTTGGTCAAGCGTATGGATGTATGCCTAAACCATCCGGGTTTAAGTCCTCATCGAGGTAAATTTAGGTGCCAATTTTCTTCTTAATAAAATGCCACCTAGTTCCTCTTAGGTTGGTCTAGTTTTTTTTTTAACAGGGCCTTCTGGCAAAGAACCTGGTGTTGTAAGACAGTATTTAAATGAATACTGTAAAATGGTAGGAGTGATCTTGCAAAAGCTCAAATCAGAAACAGGTGCATCACATTTTAAGAACATTGGAAAGTGAAATTGCGTTCATGAGATGACAATTCTGTTAAGTGAATGAGTTATGGACGTATAGTGGTATTAAATATTTTCCTTTCTAAAGACAAAGACATACTTTAAAGGAAGTGGTTCTCTACCTCCATTGTCTTGAGTAGAGATTCCTTGTCATTTATGTAGATCAAGAGAGGAATTCCAGGGTGCGCAAACATCTAGAATTTGAGTTTAACAACAATGGGTGTAATTCAGCAACTTATTCTGCCGGTTCAACATATGCTAAAACAGTATATATTGTTTGAACGACAGTGCACAGAAGCATGACTGCAGCTGCTAGCACAGCTAGTACCAACCATGGATTACTGCAATGGTTAAGCCAAAGCCATGCCATCCATCTGTTTAGCCGACTCTGGTAGTGAGTTTCCAATTCATGACCCAAAGATTTTAGATAGTACTGCTTGTCAGCATAGAAAACTATCTGTTTACTGAGCCTAGTAAATAGCTGTGATACCTCGGCATCATTATCCAACACATGAAGAATGATCCCTTTCCCCACGAGTGGTGTTGCATCATCAGATGTGTTGATATGCTGAGACATAACGGATATATAAGCAGTGAAGTCGTTACCTAACCCAGGGTCAGTTTGCTCAAATGCAATTACGTTCTTGAAAAGGGATTCAGTATTCTCATCTATTGCCAGAAAGGGAATTTCTATGGTTCTGCTGCTGAATTTCATGTCCAAGAGAGAGTGCTTATTGTTTTCATCGTAAACTCTTTTCTCCAACTTGATTCCAGCTTCATGATACTGTGATGCTGTGCACCACCAGGATGGCAACTGTCCCGTTCGGAAACAATCTTTCTGTTGGATTGGTAAAAGTTTTTGCTCATTTTCCTCAGGCTTGGTACCAAACGTGAAATAATTATGCACATTATGAACAAGGCGATGCAAATACCTGACCTTTTCCTTTTTCTTTTGGCTTCGAGTTAACTCACGGCTTGGTCTGAAATATATATGACACAGGTGGAGCAGGTGGTGAAACTTTTTGGGTCTATTGAATTCTTGGATGCCATTTGGAAATTGACGCAAGATATCTTCTACACATTCAACAATTTTTTTCTTTAAGTACTGCTTGGGTCAGTCCATTGCTTACAACTTGCTCGTAAACTGTCTCTATTATGAAGAAAGGTATTTGGTTTTCTAGCAAAAATAAGTCATGCCAGGCATAGTTGGCATACCAGTCTGCAACCATGTTGCAGTCATATTGGTGATGATGGACACTTTGAGCACAGTATCTTCGATCATACCCGGTCTCCATTTGACAGTTGCTTAACTCAATTTCGTGCACTGAATTCTCAGATGCACGTTCATGTTTACTCCTTTGGCTCTCGGCAATTTGATCAGAATTTACACCAATTTCTTCTATAATACTGTTACCTGCTCCTTGATTAGTAGCTTCAGCAGATTGAGTCTCGATTGACCTAGCAGCCAAAACAGTTCCATCGACTTTTACTAAGATGAAGCACGAATCAAGTAACAGCATCTGCAGAAATAATTTTCTGTCCACGCCTATGTCCTCTGGATAACAGCTTCTAGCCTGTTTTGCTACTTTAGATATTGCTCTTAGGTAACCCTGCAAACTCACTTTACAATTGAGTTTCAGAATGTAGTCTAAACTTTTCCACTTCTCCTTTTCCATCGCAGCCAGATTTTGAGATCCATGGTGATAAGGACCAATCGATAAAACTATTGGCTCGTATGAGCTTTTGTCAACCTCAAACATATGCTGAGGAACTTTGTGGATTGAAAACAGCCTATTTACATTGTCAGATTCATAGGCTTCCCAAAAGGAATCTATTTCTTTGGTGATGTGTCTGACCATCTTATCCATATCTACAAAATCGGCTTGACAGTTTTTACCAAGAGTCATTGATAGCACTGTATATGAAAGCCAATAGATAAGCACAATCGAATATGATTTGAAAGGACTGGATTCTTTATCTGAAGTCCTAAATTAATAGGTAAATATTGGCACTGTTAGGTTCCCCTCAAATAAGTTGGCCACATATACAAAATGAAACCTACTGAATGAAATCACGGTGGTGTAACTGAGTAAATACAAAAGAAAAAGGGTGTTCCTGAATTAATGGAGCAAGTATCGCTAACAGTAATTATGTTAAATTGATAGAAAGTGAGAAATTGGTGTCGGAGCAATTATGTTAAATTATGACTTGCACGAAATTGGAAGGGGGGTTCTTAATCTTTTAAATTTAGGGAAGAAAAAAGCTTAGATAAACATCCGAAGATAGCTCAGGAAATCCCCAACTCCTTATATTCCTAACGGTTTGAATTACACACGCAGTCTTTGCAAATTCAAATCCATTCCTACCAAATGAAGAATCCCTCTTAAACAGTGCCAAGTTTTTCTCCTGATTATTCTAGCAAACCTACATAATAGCAGAATGACACAAAAAAGGCACAAAAGATAAAGAACTCACTTGAGATTTCTTCAGATCTTTGTTCAAAATCGATTGCTCCGAGATTAGGTCTGCCTACGTCGGCGGAGCCTCGACAATTGCAGTGCGACGGTGTCAGGAGAGAAGCGCATTCGGGTGGGTAGAATATACGAGAACAACGAGTCTGGACCCTGGGCTTGGGTTATGGCCACTACGAGTTTTCCATCAATTACGGGGTGACTGGTTCAAGATCTGTTAGCATTCGAGTTCCGAAGTGTGCGGATGTTTGCGATCTCTGAAAAGATGTCAATCGTTGATTGAAAAGGTTGGTAAAAGATTGCCGGGTGGCAAGGACGCCTACTCGATGCCCACCTACTTCATCTCCATCTTCCCGCAATCCCGCATTCAGCATGGGCTCAAAAAGAAATCGACTGGAAAGGAAAAAAACAAGACAAACAAAGGTCATTACCTTGTCAACTAGGGTCTAGTAAAGTGGCTGAAGAAGTTAGGAGAGCTAGGTATCCCGGACCTACAAACAAAGGAGTCGCTTCAAGAGTGTTGGCTCCAAACCTCTACAACCTTGTCAAACGAAAGAATATAGATCAGTCAGCCATGAACTACAGAATAATGATTAGATCAGACCGTTGCAGGGAAAAATAAATGGTGCAACTTGAGGAATTTATTTCCTTGTGGATCTGAATCCAGGATCTGCCAAATTTGCGTACCAAATCAAATTCATTGGGTCATTCGAGCCATTCCGCAACTTAACATGGAAAGCTAAGGCGGAAAATAAATGCAAATTCTTTGCTTGGACCCTTATCCGCCGACAATCTAGCGAGAAGAGGATGGTCACATAAGACAGTAGTTGCTTCTCTGCCTGTTATGTCCTTTTGCGCTTGATGTTTGGAAGCAGGTGCTTGTATGAGAGCATCTCTCTTCCCTCATATATCCAGACCACAAATTTTAGCTCTATTGCGAACTTCAATGGACTGTCATCTATATCATGTGAAATTTTGTGGAAAGAAAAAAAAAATGGCGAATTTTTCAAGATGAAAGATCCGCATCACTAGTTGTGGCAACTCATGCAAAAAACCATTCGGGTGGTCTATGGAAGCACACATAAAGATCGTGATGTTACATATAAATAACAAGTAGTTAAGAATAGTCCCAGCGAAGACCAATTTATTCACTTGCAGCTTCCAAAAACAGATACAGCAACGATAAGAGGAGCGCTGACAAGATAAATTTACAGAGAAAGATCAGCCAAATCGAATGATCTTGAAACCGCCTTGTACCATGAATCTGCTCTCTTCTTCCTGTGCGCCTCATCCAGTTTCGGGCAGAAGACTGTTGTGTTCTCCTTATGCAAACCTGCAAATACCTGCTCCTTAGTCCAGACTCCTGCAGCTAACCCAGCAGCATATGCAGCTCCAAGGGCTGTGGTCTCTATATCAGCGGGTCTGACAACAGGGCTGCCTAATAAATCCGCCTGCAGGTAGGAAGTAACCAAGCTATCGTCAGTCATCCAAAGCAAACTTCAAAAACTTTTAGTTTTTTTACAATTGCTAAGAAAATAGATGAGAAAGATCTGTGTCAGGTAAGATCACAAAAGAAGTTAAGAACGCATATCGCTAAGCAGCCAAACCTCCTTTTTTTGCATGATAGTCCACACTTATGTTCTGCTAATTGGGTGATATTACTGGTGTGTATCAATTTGCAGATGAACTAGATATTCAAGGATGAAAACATAGTTTGGACTTCATACAACGTAAAAAGATTTTTGTACTACTTGAATCTGACAGTCTACTGCTGTCAGCATGCATAATTTGCCACACCAGATTGAACATTCCTTTTATTGAAGAAACTGTGTTCTGAGTTGATCTTAATAGGAGAGAGAAGCACGGGGAGCTATCGTCTAGAATTCTAAGACTTCGTCCATGTCCCACAAGCTAAAAGCACTAACTGAAAGCATGGAAGCCTTGGGCGCCGGCATGTTGCAAGTTTTTCACTTGGTTACTTCTACAAAATCATATTTGGACAGCAGACCGGTTACAACAAAAAGGCTGGCCAGGCAACTATTTCTGCCCCATGTGTGAAAGAAACTAGAGACACCGTTGCACCTTTTTTGTGGAATGCCCATTTGCAAGAAGGATATGGGAAAGGGTAGGATCCTGGACTTCATGCGAGAACCTGACCAACTGGTCATATCTGAACACGATTCATAATTGGTTCCAGGAAATGGCTGCCAATGGAAGCAAAGCAACACAGCCATTGGCCATTCTCGTCGTTTGGATTATTTGGAAAAAAAAAAGAATGATAGGGTCTTCCAACGGAAAGAAAAGTCAGTGGACAAGGTTATCAGTGAGATACAAGATGAAGCCCGCTTATGGACCAGGGCCAGTGCAAAACACCTACGTCCTTTTGTTGTCGATGTAGATCGTGAGTAGTTTTTTTTTTTTTTTTTTTTTTTGGGCTCCACCTTAGCCGTCTGCTAAATTGGAATTTTAATTATGCGTCTCTGCCGCATGTATCTCTTTCCTACTTATTAATTTATACAAGCCAGCAGGTTCCGGGTCTTTAAAAAAATGAAGCAAAAATAACATGTACTGAAAGCACGGTAGTAATTGATCACAAATTCAATTCCTAAAAGATATGAATAAGTGCTTGTATACGAGTAGAGAGAAGAGGTAATTTTCTTTACCTGGATCTGCATTAGAAGATTATTAACAGTAGCACCACCATCAACACGCAACAAGAACTCTCCTTCTGCGCTCTTTACTTCTCCTGCCTCTCCAGCATCCTTGTGCATGGAGCTGAGAACATCATTCACCTGAAAGCACATACTCTCAAGCACTGATCGAGCAATGTGCCCCTTATTTGTGAACCTTGTGATTCCAATGCAGATCCCCCTTGCATCATCCCTCCACCATGGTGCAAACAACCCATTAAATGCTGGCACAAAGTACAAACCACCTGAATCTGGCACTGTTTCAGCCAACTTTTCAATTTCAGCTGCTGACTGAATGATTCCAAGGCTGTCCCTCAGCCACTGAACTGCTGCGCCTGCAATTGCAATGGACCCTTCAAGAGCATAGTTAGTGGGTGCAGTTGGGCCAAGCTTGTAAGCAATGGTGCTAAGAAGACCATGGGAGGATTGGGTAGGCTCTTCCCCTGTGTTAAGAAGGATGAAGGCACCAGTTCCATAGGTGCTTTTCGCTTCACCCTTCTGGCACAGCTGCCCAAGCATAGCAGCATGCTGATCTCCAAGACACCCTGAGATGGGGACACCTGCAAAGGGGAACTCTTTGGCGACCACACCAATTTTCTCTGAATTACTGATAATCTTTGGCAAAATCTCAAGAGGAACTCCCAACACATCAAGTGTTGGCTTATCCCAGTCAAGTGCCTTTAGATTCATAAGCATTGTACGAGATGCATTTGAGCAGTCCGTGACATGCTGCCCACCAGCAACACCTCCTGTAAGGTTCCAAATCAACCAGGTGTCGATTGTGCCAAATAAGGCGTCACCAGTCTTGACTGCATCCATGACAGCATCCACATTTTCCATCAACCATAATAATTTCAGAGCACTGAAATAGGTACTGATTGGCAGCCCACATGTCTCCACGAAGTGGGTTCTACCACCTGATAGCTCATTTTCCAATCTCCTGTATCGTTGAAGCATGATGAGAAGATTTGACGATATCAAATGTTAATAGAACGAGTTAAAAAGAAGATGACCTGCAAACAGGGCTTGTGCGAGCATCCATCCACACAATGGCATTATACAGTGGACGGCCAGTGGATTTACTCCACATAACAGTGGTTTCCCTCTGATTTGTGATCCCAATGGCCTTCAAACCAGCAACCACATTGTATTTACCATCTTTGGCTTTGCCAAGTGCCTCTTTCATACACACCTTAACAGTCTCTATAATCTCCATAGGATCATGCTCAACCCACCTTTTAGTTCACATAAACATAGAAAGAACAAAGTCAGAGACCATGATAACTGTCATCGCTTTAAACAGAAAGATGGGACTACAGCGGTTACAGTGACTCAAGCCAATTAGCATGAAACAGCATGACTAAGGCATAGTAGATTCTAAGTTCATATCCACATATAAATGGAAATACTGAAATAAAGAAAACATGTGAGATTCCTAACAAAGCTAGCAATTTACAGGTACAAACAATATATCAATGCTCAGAGTCAGATGATCGGCGATCCTGAAAGTTCATC